TACTTTCTCTTCATTATCTGGTGATTTTAATGTTGCTTGGTATGTTAAGTCATTTTGTAGACGTATGTATATCTATATGTAGATGTGTGTTTATATATATATATATATATATATATATATATATATATATATATATATATATACAGGGTTGGACAAAATAATTGGAACAGTTGCAAAATCCACTTCTATATTTCAAAGACCTATTATATTAAGAACTTTAACTAAAACTTTGTAATTGAAGGTTATATCTATTGTAAATACGTTTATTTATCTAATTTACTGTCTTTCTCTTATTTATTTTTAGAATCTATTAAAATTTAAGCTAAATGCGTGACCTCTCCGAGTTTGAAAAAGAGCAAATTGTTGGAGCTCGCATGACAGGGGCCTCGATCACTAAGGTTGCTGAACTGTTTGGTTTTTCAAGAGCTACCATATCAAGAACACTGATGCAATTCAAGAAACAGGCCAAGACCTCTGGCAACTGTAGCAATTCGGGCCAGACTTGCAAACTTACTGACAGAGACTGACGTGCATTGAAACGCAATGTGGCAAAAAATCATCGGACAAATCAAGCCAAAGTGACTGCTGAGTTTAATAACCATCTGAATAGTTCAGTTTCTACTAAAACTGTTCACTGTGAGCTCCATAAGGCTGCATATCATGGAAGAGCCGCTGTGAGTAAACCTCTTTTCTCCATTCACAACATTCAAAAGAGGTTGAAGTGGTGCAGAGATCACAATGCCTGGTCTGTAGACCAATGGAAGCAAGTCATATTCTCAAACAAGTCCAGTTTTTCTCTTTTCCCAACTTCAGGGTGAGTTTATGTGTGGAGGCAGCCCAAAGAAGCTTACAACCCTGACTGCTTTCTTCGAACAGTGAAACATGGAGGTGGAACAGTGATAGTTTGGGCCACCATATCATGGAAATGTCTCAGTCCAAGAGTTGCCCTGCATGGTAGAATCAACAGCAAAGATTATCTGGACATTTTGGGAGATCATGTTCATCCAATGGCCAAGACTTTATTCCCTGATGGTGACTGCATCTTCCAAGACAATAATCCTCCAATACATACCGCTCAAGTGGTTAAGAATTGGTATGAAGAGCATAAAAGTGAGCTAGAACACATGGAGTGGCCTCCCCAATCTCAAGATATCAATATTATTGAACATTTGTGGTGCATTTTGGAGCAACAAGTTAGGAGCCACTATCCTCCACTGTCGTGTCTTAAAGAGCTGGAGAAGGTTTTAATAGAAGAATGACTGAAAATTCCTCTGGATGAAGTCAGGAAGCTGTATGATTCCATTCCTAGACGTATTAAAGCTGTCTGTGAAACTAAAGGAGGACCAACTCCATATTAAATAAATTTTCTTTGAATTTAACAAGTGTTCCAATTATTTTGTCCAACCCCTGTATATGTAGATGTGTTTGTGTGTATGTAGATGTGTATATATACATATATGTGTAGATGTGTGTGTGTATATGTCTATCTATAAAAGGCAGGATGTGTGTGTGTGTGTTTGTGTAACGAATGCATGGCCACAATTTTCAACGGATTTGCACAAAATTTACATGCACATGCTCCAAGTTAGCGGGAAGGCCAAGACCGACTTTGCATTTCCCAACTCCCATCGATAGTGGAAATAATTGATTTTTTCATGAATATTTTTACGGCAGTTTTCATGTAGTTTGCAGCCATTTTCTACTGGCCAGAGTGAGATAAGCTCATAGCTGGCTTTCAAATAATAGGCAGGAAGATTCTATTGGTTTTGGTATTTAGAGAGCAAACAGCTGACTTTTGACATGAATGTTAACTAGCATACTAGCATGCAAAAAAAATCGATAGCTGCATTCGTCAGTCAAATGGGGCAAATTTAAATCTGCATGGCACTTTTTACAATTGGCTCATTCGCTATTAAACTCAAAGTTGATTCTGATTCCGCAAACTGGGTTTCCAGTTATTTGTCCTTTTTCAAAGCTGATCGTTTTGTATTCATTCTGTTTAGTTCTTTTTCGTAACAGATTTAATGTTTAGTATAGAGCTTAAAAAAAATTTGTTGCAGTTTGAGATAGGCAAGAAGTAAGGCATGTAGCAACATCAGCACGCCAAATATAAATTTTTTAAAGGCAAGGAAGGGCAAAATATTTTAAGTCAACTGAAAGCAATTGCTGTTATTCATGTATGATTTTTTAATCAAGACAAATGGTTTCCGGGCCATGCTGCTAGTTTTATATAATCTGAGTGCACACAGTTATCAGTGAGTTCAATACCTGGTTAAGGCAGTAGAGAAGTTGCAGAGGAAATTAACAGGAGATAACTGATAACTGACATCCATTAGACATAGCACATGGAACTAAAACAGTCTGCCCCAGTGAGTGAAATAAAGGGTTCAGTTCGACATTCCGACCACCTGAAGAAGCCTGGAGCATACAACAGGCAAAATGTTGTGATAAATATGGCAACAAAGATGAGGATGATAGTCCAAACAATGTAAATAGTGAAATACTTACACATATATGCATATAACGTCACTGGTGCTTGCATGTGTCTGTGTGTGTATGTATGTATATATATATATATATATATAAATATAGTTTTAAGGTGTGCTATATTTATGGGATAAAATGCTCAATATCAGAGATAGAAATGTATGTAAATATAAATATAAAAACAACATTGAAGTCAACACTAGAGGCGATTGGGCTGTTTCATGCTAGACACAATTGTCAGGCCACGAATGTTCATGGCAATTTATGTTTTGGTTTCGGTTGGCAGTTTTGTTTTCCTTGATACCACGGTTTTCCGTTTGGTTTTTTGGTTTTTAAATTAGTATTTTTGCTTTCTAAGGAAGCCATTCATTTTCTTGTATAATGATAGCATTTCCAGTAGATATCTGATTTCGTTTGAGATTGCTAATACTTAATCCGTTCAACTCGCAATATCTCATGTATTTCTGGTCCAATCTTAAAAATATTCATATGGCTGGAAAGAAAATATAATCTTTCTAAATATGTAATTTGTTTGTATATGCTTTTATCTATTGAATTATTTTTTACAGTCAGTTAAAACGTTATTGCTTCGACCAGTCAAAAATGCAAAATGATTTTTTTAGACTAAATTTTACATGTTATTTTGTTTCGCAAAATCAAAGTGACCAATCTTTATCAATATTCTTGAAATTGTACACTCAATTAGAAGACAACTTAAGCTACAACCAGGAAGATGTTCATTTCTTCTCTGACCCAAGTAAGTGATTTCCTTCAGAAATTATAAAGGAAGCAAAAAAAAATGAAAAAAAAGTAGAAAAAAACGACAATTGTAGTCTGGTAAACTAGTCAACTATTATTGGGATTTGCAAATAAATTTCTTCTAAACAAGAAAAATCAATCAATTATTTTTCCCCCAAATGTTTTTATGTAGCAAATACACCTACAATTAAATATTAAAAATAATTAAAAGCTTTTAATTTCATTAGAATGTGTTGATTTCCAATCTGCAAGTATCATGTGTTCTTTTTTAGATACACATTTTTAAACTGAAATTAAAAACTATTTTAATCATTTTAATATAATCTTACTTTAGTGTATTATTCACCTGATAAAAATATATATATATATATATATATATATATATATATATATATATATATATATATATTATATAAGGGTTCAATAGATAAATTGTCGCCATTTTATATTTTTAATTTTGTGCGTACATGTTTTTTATTTTGTCGACTGCACAGTATAATAGGGTTAGTTGGATACCATCTGTGAGAAAAAATGTGCACCATGAGACAATTCACTTCACCAGAAATTTGCAAACAGCATGCTGTACTGCTTTCAGGATGATTGGGTGTCAATCTGAAGACAGTGCATAGGGTTCAGAAAGAGGTTGGGTGAGTCTAATGTTGATTATGAAAACTCACTCTGTTCGTTTTGATAAGAGAAGAACTTCCGAATTTGTTGGTGAGATCCAGGCCTTGGTTAAAAACACTCCCTCCATGTCGATCAGGTTCATAGCCAGGGAGGGAGTGCTCTTGGTCAAGAGGGCAGCTGCTGGAAGACCTTACATCTGGCAACAGGAATCTGCACCATACCACATGAACAGGAGAACTAAGTCATGGCTGTCAGACAATTTCTGAGACCACATCACCCTTCACATCTACCTATCTCTCTATGCTGCAACCCTCTTGATTATTATGTATGGGGCACAGTTGAGTGAGAGACCAACAAAACTCTTTGTAACACCAAAGATAAAGGCAAGGATTATGGCAGCATTCACCAGCTTAAACAAGGTGACTGTACAGAAGAGTTGCAGAAGATTCTGAAGTCATCTAGAAGCTGTGATTGAAGCCAATGGCAATTTTATTGAATAAATTTACTCTTTAGTATTTCAAGATGTTTTTGTGTAATTTTGGTAAATATATCTGTTAAAATGAAATGTCATTGTTATTTAAATTTTTTGAATAATTTAGATGACAATTTATCCATCGCACCCTGTATATATAACCTCAGTTGTTACTTTATAATGTACACTCTTCTAGCACCAGGTTGAGCCCCTCTTGGCATTTTGAACTAACTTGATTCTTCTTCCTTCCCTTGATGACCCCACCTTGAACATGGCGGAAAAAGGGAAAAAAAATCACACAGTGTCAGGTTGAGTGAGTAGGAATGTTGCTGGTGATGGGACACATCAAGGGACACATTTTCCGGACATAGAAGCTATCAAGAGGGCTTTGATGACAGAGCTGCAGAGAATCCCAGGAAAATCCTTCCTGTCATGGGAAAGAGCATTAGGCTTAAGGGAGATAATTTTGAATGGAAAAGTCTCGTAGTTTGTATTTGACATAAATTTTTTTTGACTTCAGTCCTATTTCTCTTCTGACATAAATCGTATGTATATATATATATATATATATATATATATATATATATATATATATATAAACATGTCCACACTTGTGATACTTACTTTATGGTTTATTTATTTGTATTATTTACAGAGGCAAGCTGGATTTCCATTGTCTGACTGCTGTAAGGAGGAAAATGTTTCACCCGCATCATCATTAGCAGCAGCTGCATTACCCTCATTACCGCAAACATTAATACCACCACCTCACCTTTCTACCACAAATAAATATGAAATGGAAGCAAGGAATATGATCAGTTAGTTATATTGTTTATTGTTTTTTTGTTTTCTTTTTTGCTTCAAGGAAATTTCCTCTTTTCATCATCAAACAGATAACTCCAAAGTTAATACTTCCTAGTTCATTTCTATGGCCCATGACATTAGAGCCATTTGTTGGTGGCATGACAATAGAAATTGAATGCTCTTGTCAATAATGGTGTTTTTTTGTTTTTTTTGTCTGGCAAAATGCCATCTAAGAAGAAAGTGCATATGAAGTAGTGGTATGCTATTGTATTCCTCCGTTCAGAAAAAATTGCAACCAATAACATTCAATACTACCTGAACGTTTATGGTGACCAAATAGTGGATGTGAGCTCAGTAAGGTGGTGGATGATGTGATTCAGCAGTGATATGCATGACAAATTGGGTTCCAGGCTGCTTTGCATGGCTGTCAACCAAAAGAATGAACCATTCTTTTGAATATAGATAAACAATGGTAATGATTAAATAGATAACCATTTGTAATGATTAAATAGTAATGATTATATGGAAAAGTTGAGCTGAAAATTTACTCTATATTTAATAGTTTTATTTTGTTCTTAAAGACAAATGGAAGCTACATAATGGCATTGCACTGCCATTATGTAGCTGGGCGTGTTTCTAAAAATAAATACGCTAAAAATCCACCTTCATCCCTACCGTGCACCGACGGCTTAATGGTTAGAATCTCCGACTGACACCAACTCAGTCGGGTTTCGATCCTAGCTAGAGGCAACCGGATGTCTAGCCGCACTGATGAGCTGTGAAACAGTGAAACAGTCTGTCTGTGGATGACGTTATACACACACACACACACGTATATCCACTGCATTTCAAATTATTAACGAGGTAAATTTTTTTCCAAAAACTACCAGTTGGAATTTAAGAAAAATTTTCACAGTATAATGGGAATAGGTCTATGTGCAGGCCATATAAAAACTGCATTTTTCTGCACAACAGGAAACAATCGGTGGCCATTTGCAATATTGACATGATATAGAAGTGTTCCAGACTATAAATGAATGTCATTATAATCATGCAATTATAGGTCACAAATGTGACTTGACCCTTCTGAGAAAGATATAGCATCTGAACTTTCCAAAGGCAAATCTAGAAATATCCAAAATAATTGGAAGATATAACCAAACTGTGAAAAGATTTGTTGCAGCTCCTAAGAGGGCCAATAAGGGTCACTCAAAGGTTGTTTCTTAATGTTCTTTGTCACAAATGAAACTGTAAATAACCCAGGCCTGACCAATGGCGCACTTTCAGAAGCATTGGAGAAGCAACAGTGTCCAGAAGTACTCACTATCGTCTCCTGAAAAAGGTTGGGTCATCAGTGAGACCAGTGACAATGTCTGAATTGACAAAAATAAATATACAAATGCAATTGAATGTGTAAAGGAGAACATGAAGGTTAATTTCTTAAAAGTTCTGTTCACAGATGAAAGTTGTGCAACACTTGATGGCCCTGATGGTTGAAGCAAATACAGGTGAATATGATAAACCCAACTGGAATTCAAACTTGACTCTCTAATTAACAATTCCAAACCATTATCCATTACACCACCTGCAAATCCAAGCTTAGAGCATCAGGCATTCCCAAGTGGTTACCAATCTTGGTACTGACCAGGCTCAATGTTGCTTAAGTTCATTGATTGTATAGGAAACGATCAAGAGTATGCAGTTTTTGGGGACATTAAATATTTGATCTTCTTCACACAAATATGTGAGTGGCTCCTCTCCTCTCGGGCATTTATATAACTTCCTGTCATCTTGTTGTCTTGAATATGTATTTCCTATGTTCAGCTAGCTTGACTTCCTGTGTATGTCAAGCAGCCCATGACATCTATTGAGGCTTGATTCTGTACTTACTGGAAATTAGGACACCTTCTACATCAACTCTCTTAGGCACTTAACTCTTTTGATGGTTTCATGTGACCCTGAGTAAAAAGCTTACTTTGGTGTCTGTTAGAGTGAACCAAATACATCAGGAAAATAGTGAGATGAAAGATAATCAAGACTGGGTAGCTACAGTGGAAAAGGGATATATATATATATATATATATATATATATATATATATATATATATAAAAAACAAATAAATAAATAAACTAAGTAAATAATAAACAAATATTAACAAACCCTGTATGCACATATAAACACAAAAGAATGTAGTAATAACAATCAATAATAAATAAAATAAATAACACTATAAATAGCCAAAAAACTACATTCAGATCCACAATTATTCCTACTAAATAGCCAATAGAATAATTCGAAACACAGCCATTACCACCCAACAAAATTACCATTAGATTAATACAATAGGCTACCCACAATGCAACACTGACCTGTATGTGTGTATATATATATATATATATAGTCAAGCAAAAACACTGCATATGGCCTAACAATTGTGTTTAATATGAAACAGACTGTCGCCTCTGGGTGTTGACTTCAAAGTCCATTTTTATATTTACATATGCTCTATCCATGATATTGAGCATTTTAACTCATTAATATAGCATAACTTAAAACTATACTTTTCATATAAAATTTCGCTTGAAGATAGAACAGAGCGTGGTACTTTAATTCAATTTAATTCAAATAATTATATTGAAGTTTTCAGCTCTCGTTTTGAAACATGAGAACTCTTATGTAGCAAAGGAATCATATTTTTAAATAAATAATTATATTTAGGTTCTACTTTTGCATCGAGCACTGTTTTTTAAAAATACCAAAAATACTAAAGAACTTTGGATTATTTACCTAACAAGTTCTTTCCTATTTTCTATATACTTTCACACACACACACACACACACTATATATATATATATATATATATATATATATAAACTGGATCCTGACCAACCACATGGCTAAATTTTTTTGCTCTAGTAACTTTTCTCTTACTAAGTACTGATAAGTACTTGGCTAAATCACCAAAATCTGGCCAATCACCAACTTCTTTTTGGGAGTGGTATTTAGTTGAACCGAGAACTTTTCAGCATTTCCTTGTGTATGATAAAAAGCAGTCACATATCTCTTTTATGTATTTTTTAACTGTTTTTTTTTTTTTTTCTCTCCTTTCACCAGGGAAAACAAAATCTTTGGAACCTGAAAACTCTGAGAACCACCCAGGATTAAATCTTAATAAGCAAATAGAACCTTTCTTCCCAGTTTTTCAATCTGCCTTTCAGCTGTCACCCCCAGTGCAGAAGACTCGTGTATTTACCCAAAATGGAACAGGTATGTCTACCCAACAAAGCTTCAAATTTCTTTGTTATACAGGTGACTCAATCATTTCTACCAAACCAAAATATTAACCTAAAAACTTGAGTCTTGTTCTTTAATAGCCTCATCAGAGAGATTTTCATTGAGTGCAGAGCAATGTCGAGTACAGCTTGCCAATGACGTTCATCCAGTTGCCTCGTCTTGAGTGCAAGTTTGATCGTTTTCCATATTGTTCCGTTTGCCCTCTTGCATTGTCCATTGCCGATTGGATGGTATGGTGTTGAGTGGGTAATTACAATGCCCTGTTGCCAGAGAAACTCTTTCAGTTCAGATGATATGAGCTGGCCCCCTCAGTCACTATGGATTGAATCTGGGCAACCAAAGAAGGTAAAGAGATTTTGGAGACATTTTATTACAGTTCCTGTTGAGATGTCATGGCATGGATAGACTTGATAGTTAAAAAAAAAATGTTCAAAGGAATGATGAATTTTTGTGCTGGTTTATCAACAGACATAAACAACTTTTTTACAGCACAGGTACTGTTTTCTAACACCAACATTTTTTTTCTTCAATCATTTCACTTCAAGCAAAGGCCATATAATGCCACTAGGAAGATGGTGATTGATGTTGCATTTAAATTTTTTGTGGTTGTAAAGAAAAGAAAAGACTGTCAACTTATAGTAGCAATAGATTTCTTCTGTCTCTTGACCGCAACACTTATAGCCAAATCACAATTCATACGATGACCTGTTGTAACAGTCCAACAAGCAGCGTAGAAACGACAAAATGGGGTCACACGTCCAACCTTCACTTCTCATCAGCAAAAGCACATGTTCATCTGCCGAATAACAACGGCTTTTGTTCACTGAGAGATCTTTCTGATTGGTCACGCCATTCAGGGGAGGGCAGAACATTAGCATAGATTCTCCTCCCTTTCTTGCTAACTACTTTTTAATAATTTTTCTTCTGATTATCTCTTTCACTACACTCCCCCCTGTCACATAAGTGACACTCAGGGGCGGGCCTCTTTATTCTTGAGCTTCTCTGGAGCGGAGTGACTGTTGGAAGGAATTGTGTGGTATGTTCTGAAGACACATCTTCTGAGGATTCTTCTGATCTGGTAACCTCACGCACAGTGTCTTCGCCATCTGAAGAGGTGCTAGCGCTACCTCCGATGGTGATTATTCTTTCATTTCCTGAGCACTCACTGCTAGTGTCACTTGTTGAAGTATCTGAACCTACATGGCGATGCAAGTCTTTTACGTGTCTTGGTATTCCATCAACCAGCACAGAGCGCGAGTTACTTATTCCAGAGACATGACATCGGCTATGTGGGGCTTTTACCCACACGCGATCTTCCAGTTCATACAGCGCTCGTTCTTTTATTCGTTCAGTTGAACACGTTGCGTCAATGCCACTTAACCGGACTTTGTACCAGTAAATCAAGTTGGCTGGCATAGTTGAGAGTGATACATTGTCTTTAGGGGTAATGTTGTGCCAATACACCGCTTCCATTATGCAACACTGCTTCCTGGCAGCGATTCTCTTAACGCTCCAATGTCATTGCTCGATTATGCCATTTCCTGATGGGACATACGCGCAGTGAAATCTGAGGTGGACTCCCCACAAATCTAAAAAATCTTTAAGTAGTCCACTACAGAATGCAGTGTCGATGTCAGTTAGGAGTTCTGGTGGAGGTCCACATTCAAAGAACAATGCCTGCAAGTGATCAATCACAATTGCGGAATCCTCTCGACACAGACATCGCCAAATAGTGAACCAGCTCCTGAGCTCAGAAAATCTCCATTTATAAGCGAAGAACAACGACTTTTTTTCACTGAGAGATCTTTCTGATTGGTCACGCCATTCAGGGGAGGGAAGAACATTAACATTAGCATAGATTCTTGTCCTTAAAGTTGTTTTGGCTAACTACTTTTTGGTAATTTTTCTTTGGCACATCACACACAAAACACAAACTCTTTTTCAAGGTAGCTGATTATCTCTTTCACTACATTTTTGCAGATTTTAGATAACACGAAAGCAAGAAATTGGAAGGGAATGTGTAGTGTAATGTTACTGTCTCACATTAATTGGTATGCACTCAACTGCCCATGGGTAATAGCCATAGATATTTATAGTTTTTATGACTTCCTATGTGAATGAGTTGCCTCAATAAAAAAACAATGAGAAGACAGGTTTTGGAAAGACAGAAGATGGCAATTGGCATGGCTTTTAAATTTTTGCAGTTGTCATGGAAGAAAAAAATTGGAAAGGAATTAAAGACAATGAGAAAACTTTAGTGAGGAGAAGTGCAGGAGTGGACAATCGGGAAACAGAGTTTGTGAAGATAGTAAATAGCGAATGATGTTGCATTTAAATTTTTGAAGATTGTTGATGACAGGGAAGTAAGAAATTGTAAAGGAATGAAAAACAATGAGAAAACTTTAGTGAGGAGAGGACAATCAGTAAACAGAGTTTGTGAAGATTTAACACCTCCTGTCACCATCTAAACCCAGTGGGTGTACCCACATTTTGTGATTTGGTCCTCAGGGTCCTAGGATGACATTTTAACCACAGTGCTAACTCTCTGCTGGTCCAAGCTGGTGGTTGATAGCTGGCCACTTCAATCCACACCAACTCTGTCCACATTGTGTTCTTGATCTCAGAGTAGTAATCGCAGCACTGATTCAAACCGTGGTAGGTGCTATATTAAGAAAGAAATATCTTAACAACGAAAAATAAAAACGAAAGATTCACTGAGTTAATCTTTAATTGGTTCATATAGTTCTTGGTACAACAAAAGATAACCCTTCCCACATCAAGCTCTATAGTTACACTGTGCTTCACCTAATAATTCAGGCTTCAAAGTTCTTTAGAGTCAGGAAATCTGGTGACAGCTGACATGGATTCCAGAGGAACTTGATGTAGGGTTCTCAGCCCAAGTCCCCGAGCTCCTAAAGCCATCTGCTTATCTGCACTTTGGCTCAAAACTGACGTGGGGATGAAAGGTTCTTGGGATTCGTTGATTCTTTAATTTTCACATTAATTCTAATAAGGGCTCTTTGTTCCCAATTTCTAATTCCTTAATCAACTTTCCAAATTTGGAGAATCATCCACCTTCTTGGGAATAGTTATAGGGATTGCTCCTCCTCTAACTTTCCACCCGCTTCACTCACATTTGCACCACCACTTCACACAGGTGGTACTAAATCCTCCCTCTTTTTCCTTCCTTCTTGGCATCCTACCACAGCCCATCTCTCAGGTTGGTTTAACTGCCTTTGTGACAAATTTAATTTTCATATTGTGTGGGTGAAAGAACATAGTTTATTCTAATCATTAATTTTAATTCTCGTGCCTCCCCAAGGCAGAGATAAAATTATCTCTCCATTTCCTGATCTACCCACATCCTGGGAAAACACAAACCAGATCACCTTCTTCGCAGTTACAGGATCTGTTTTCATAACTTCGATCCTCACAATGGGTTTGCTCTTTGTTTTCATTTCTCACTTTGTTTTCGTCAATGAAAATATATTTGTTTACCTAAATTCTCAAGGAAGAGATAAAATTATTCTTCATCTGTGGGCTCCTAACTGTCTTAGCAAAAACACAAACCAGATCACATGCTTGTAGTGACAGGATCAATTTTCATAACTTCGACCCTCACAGCCTTGTTTTGATTTCCCAATTCGTTTTTGTCAACAAAAATATATTTGTTTGCCTAAATTCTCAAATAAGAGATAAACTTGTTCTCTAAATTTGTTTATTTCCACATGCCAGACTCTTGATAGATAAGAAAAATAAACTTTAGGAGAGAAGAAATCCAAACGGTCCCATTTTCACCAAGGAAAATGTCTCCACTCTATCTCTCTCTCTCTCTCTCTCTCTCTCTCCTCCAGCCTATATTTCATTTTAGGCTTAACCCTTTTCTGCTCAGAATCAACATTTAATCACCTCATAGCCTCAGTGTGACAAGATAGAAAATGGCAATTGATATGACATTTAAATTTTTGCAGATTGTAGCTGGCAGGGAAGCAAGAAATTAGAAGGGCAGGAAAGACAATGAGATGACTTTTATGAGGAGAAATGAGGAGAGGACAGTCAGGAAACAGTTTATGGAGATAGTAAATGGAAACTGATATTGCATTTAAATTTTTTTAGTTGGCTTGAAAGCAAGAAATTGGAAGGGATGGAATGATAATGAGAAAGCTTTAGTGACAGTAAACAGATTTCATGAAGATGATGATTGATGAATTTAAATTCTTGCAGATTGTAGGTGGCAGGGAAGCAAAAAAATTGGAAAGGAGAGAAAGACAATGAGAAGATTTTTGTGAGGAGACGAAAATCAATAAACAGGGTTTGTGAAGACAGAAGATGGTGATTGTTGTCGTATTTAAATTTTTGCAGATTGTAGGTGACTGTGAAGCAAGAAATTAGAAGGGAGTTCCACATGCAAGAAAAGAAACTCTTAGAAGAGATGGTTGGATCTATGTAGTTTAACAGTAAAATGGTGAGACCTAGTTGCAAATCTAGTATCATGCCTAAGTTCATGCAGTTGAGGCAAACAGGGAAAAAGCTCATCAGAACAGTTACCATGAAAATATTTTTGGTAAGACAAAGGGAAACCAGATCATTTCAATCAGAATATAACTGAAGTTGAGATGCCATGTCAGTATAAATTACATTGAACACCCTTCTTTGAATGTTGTCAAGAATCTCAAGATATATAGTAGGTGCACCAGACCAGATATGGCAGCAGGATTCAATGTGCAAGATGGATTCTGTCACAACACTATGAACTAACATTCCTAGCAGTAAACCTAGCAATTGATTCAATATAATTACTCCACTCCAAAGGTAAGCCCAAGAAAGTGCAAAAAGTTTCTCTCCTGGAGTTTAGTATCAGCCATGCTGATGTCAAGCAAAAATGGTTCTTTATTATGATTAAATGAAAGCAGTTTAGTTTTGGAGGCATTAAAATTTGCAAGCTATTTCTTACCCCAGTTAATAATTGATTG